AGTAATGGTGAACTGCTGAGTCACTGATAAAGTCATGCCAGAGCAGCACAAATGCAAACACTATGCAAACAAAGAGTGTTTGACTTGCAGATTTCAAACATACCTAATATCATTTAAAATGCTCTCACGGCCTGTGGTATACACCAGCGCGGACCAAGCGCGGACCAAGCGCAGACCAAGCGCAGACCAAGCGCAGATCAAGTGCAGACCAATGATTCAGTGGGCGCAGACCAGGCGCAGACCAGGCGCAGACCAAGCGCAGACCAAGCGCAGACCAAGCGCAGACCAAGTGCAGAGCAATGGAATTCAGTACAATGGAAAGCGAATGCAGACCGACTTGAACATGATCATAAACAAGGGAAGTGCAAGTGCAAGGAAATGCATAGCATCTGCCACATACAGTATCATGCCAAAGTGCTTAAAAAGCTAAATTCCTGTGAGGATGTATGAGTGCAAAAGCTTTGGCGAGTTTTTACTCTCCATAACAGCAAGGCACAACATGTAACAAGTTACCGAATGGAAAGGATCTACATCTATTTCAAAACGTGAAAGAGACATAATAGTCAAAAGTGTTTGGATAATGCCACTGCGAGCGCATGCATTTCTAAACACGGCGCAGACCAAGCGCAGACCAAGCGCGGACCAAGCGCATACCAATATTTCAGTGGGCAAAGCCAGGCGCAGATCAAGCGCAGACCAAGCGCATTTCAAGCGCAAACCAATTTTTTTGGTGGAGCCTAAGAAACCTCTGCAACAAATATTACACTCTGGAGCATGGCTTTTGCATCTTCGAGCCCCACGACATGCAGCTGCATGTTTGTATGTCCGGCGACAAAGAACACCGAAACCTTATCCATGTTTTTGTCTCGGAACATTGGTGAACCATGCGGTTTCAAGTGTGCATTTGGCATATTTGCTAGATGATGAGCTTAGAACGTAGGGTTCAAAATCAGACGAATGGAGTTTAGGCAAGAATAAATTCTGTGAAAGGTCATGCAACAAACTCTCCGGTCGAACATTATTTGTTCGAGTGCATGTTGGAGAAGGCAGAACCTGGAAAGGATACACACCACATCACAAGGTCTACTTTGTCTTCTCTGTGGCTATTTCCTGGGCAGCAGTGTACTTCTGCCGTTTGTTGCAAACAAGTTTCTGGTCTTAGACCTGTCTATCTGCGTTGTGTTACTTATTTTTTTTGGCAAAGGCTAGCTCCACCAAGTTTCAAACCTGCATCACCATCGAGCCCTGCATCCGCCTAGTAATCAACTTAATACAACTTAGAGTCTATGTAGCCATTAATTATCAAGACCGTCGGGAACGACGAATCCCTGCGTCTCAGCCAATCTTGACTCTCTTTGTCCGTTGTCAAAGTCCGGCACTGCAGGAGGTCCTGGAGAAAGAAGCTTTTCAATGGAATGCCATATTTCCAGGATGATTTGTGTACTTGGTTACACCAGGGGCCACACAGGACGTGGCTTTCAAACTAGTGTTGGCACTTGTGCAAGACTTGCCTTTATGTTTTCTGAATTCTTCTTAGACACTTTAATAGTCATAGGGTTCTTCTTGTCGGACTCCTCATTACAACAAGTGCACCTCAGTGAACATAGACAGACTTTGTTCATTGTCAACACTAGAAAAGATTCTAGCACCACCGCTTCCTGTTGCAACCCTGGGAATTGCCCGAAAGTCTAAAGGGAATCCAAGCTGATAAACGACGTGATGAGAATGCTTTTTTCATGCCCTGCGACTGTTTGCGGAGATACTGCACAAAGAAGGCCGGCAAAGAATCGTCAACGAGGACTCCTCCGGGTTTCAGAATCAGAATCATGGCATTCCACGCGGGTCTTGTCCTTCTGCGTCCAAGCGGGTGTCGTCCTCCTCAGTCTGATCTCCGTGCAAGTCGTCTTCGATGTCACTGAAATCCAGAAGGACCTGCGAGTCGAAGTCCGGTGTGTGGTACTGCCTGCCAACGGGTGGCCCACGTGCTTTGTCCTGCGCCTCGCTGAGTTTCCTGATGCGTGCAAAAAAGACCATCGTTGTCCAGAATGTAGCAGCACAGCAACTTGCCTCGAAGGCGTTGCCTGCTAGATCTGCGAGTAGGCCCTGCGGCACCGTCGAGAGCAAAGGATCGTCGCTTTTGAACCATCGCCCTTGCAGTCGCATGGACTCCACCGGCAGCATGGGCCTGCACTCCGAGGTCAAGTACCGCTCGCCCTTCGGAGTGATGCACGGGGAGTGGTCCGTGGCGTGCGCAAACTTGTCCTGCGAGATGTCCACGACCTTCAGATTGGCCGCCGTGGTTGGGAAATTGCGTATTCCGAGCTTGAACAAAGTCCTGCGTTTACGGGCTGTCATACACTTCAGGCAGGGCCTTTGACGAGCTGCACGGCGGAAGCTCTTCAGCCAGTCCTTTGTCACGATCCTTTCCCGTGCCAACATCCGGGTGCCAGATGAACATGTGCTCAGCTGGCTGGCACTAGCCTGCACGACTGGACAAATAAGAACCAACGGAAAGACGGCGTTGCGATACTGCGTGGTCCTCGTGCTGTGTGTCCTGGGACTCTTGGGCTTCCTGTAGTGCACGACGTTGAGCACGACGATTGGCCCGTCGAGTGCGCATGATCTCCAGCTTTCGTTGGGCCTCGTGGTTGAACGTCATCAGGCTTGTGGACCTGCAGAAACAAAAGCAAAAGAACACCAGAAACCACATGCTACCAGTGCAGACTCAGTGTTCACTGGATCAGCCTTGCGACACTTACGTTTGAAGAGAGTCCTGGATGGTTGTGAAAACATCACATGGGCCCCAAAACCCACAAGTGCAATGTCGACATCGAACCCTGCATGTATACCGATTATTTGCTGATCACAACGAACGGCGGCACTACTTGTTGACGAGTTGCAGGGTTTATAACAAGTACTGAAGAAAGAACACGTCTACGAAACATGTCGTTTCAAGTCGAAGTCTACAATGATAAAATCCATACAGAAACTGCTATGTACTATGCCAAAGCTTTTTTTTGCTTGAGTTAAAGACACGAATAACATCAGGGTTGAAACTAAGCCGTTGCAGTGCGACTCTGGCCTTGGCAGGACCAAATAGTCCGAGACCGGCATTACCAGCAAACCAAGCAGGGTATTCATGATGCTGTTGAGGAGTTTGTGAACGGCGGGTTCTGGGAGGAGTCCCTCGAAACACTTGCGAGGAATGGCTGTCATCCACAGCCGCTTCCGGCTCTGCGGAACTCCAAACATACGTGGGTCCAACTCCCAGACGTGTAGAAGTCGATTCGTCTCCTTGTCCAGCAGGTGTCCCACGTGGTCCAGGTTACTGTTTGCTCCGCGCTCATGTGTCCGGGTCAGTCCAACGACATTCTCGAACATGCAGACTTTCGGCGCTGCCGCTCCTTGAGTCTTGAGGTACTGCACGATGTTGTGCAAAACCGATCCGGTACGGAGTCGTCCTGTCGCCACGCACGATCTATTGTCCGACGAGGAGGCCGATGTGTTGAGCACGGAGCAGTCTTGACAAGGGAAGCCCGCCGTAATTGCGGTGCACAGCGGCATTTGGATCTGTCTGTAGTACTTCGTGTCGAAGACTGTGTCGTGTTGCATGTCCGCGGCATCCTTGAACATGTGCTGGATCTCCGGGTGTGCCTGCAGGAGGAAGTTCCTTTTGGCAGCGTCCTTTTCGCAAGCGAACTTGTGTTGGAAGTACATGCCGTCCAGCTCCCAATTGTAACGAGCCCAGTCCCAGAACTGCTTCATGACCGTCGCTCCAATGTCCATTCCACTGCAGATGGAGCCGTATCGTCCGTCGAGTGTTTTGCCCTCAAGGAGCATCTCCTTCAGGTAGACCACGTCCTCCGGAACCAGTCTCCTGGACCACAGCCTGAACAAGTCCTTCGTTCGAGTTGCAGAAACAGCAAGTTTGCGATCATTCTCCAGAAACTCGTGAACAGGCGTGTGTACTTCGACTTTCTGAACTTGTACGTCCCTGGCCAAAGGTGTCCGCTGAGGTCTGTCCGGCGTTGGTAAATCGTCCGGCCGGAACTGCAAGGCTCTTCGGAGGGCCATGGTGTGTAACTTATGTGTACAACGTCCTCAGTGTCAGAGGTCTAAGTTTACTAGGACCCACGAGGTGGAAGCATTCTGATCTGCTGTCCTCTTCAAGTATATGTGGACGTCCATGCCTATGCTGAACGACAGTTTGCTGTATAGAACTCTGACGAACGTCTACTGACATGATCCTGTGGCTCTCTTGAAAGCACACCAATTGCAGAACACAATGTCCGTCAGGAGGCAACTGTGAAGCTCGCCGAAAGGAATTTCAACATGCTCTACACTGCCCTCGGCCCTGTGCATTTCATTTTAGCTTCCTAAACCTATAGAACATGATCATCCGTGTGCACAGCAAGAGAACTGGACCTATGAAATCACGGTTTACCATGCCACGCACGGCTCCTTCGCAGCAGCGTGTGTGAGCCCACTGCGATGTAGAAGCACTGGCCGCCTGCAATGCAGAACACAAAGAACGCTGTCCAACTTCCAGTTAGAATCTGACTGTGCTCACTGTCTGCTCACCGATCAAGACAAGATTACAATCTCTTAGAGGTTCCACGGATATCCAAATCCTTTCAACTTTGGACAAAAAAACGAAGGCAATACAATGGCAGACCTTAATGGAATTAAACATGGCTCAGCAAAGACCACTAAAACAATAGCTTACTTAACGTTGGATTGGAACAGAAATTGCAGCTGACCGATGGGATATGCAATGCAGAAAGCACACCGTGTCTGCAGCGCAATTTTGTCCTGGAGCCAATCATCGACTGCGAGAGCTTGTCAGCTTCTGGAGCATAACAGGACCAAAGGAGTCGTTGTCCATTCTGCTTTGTCGTTGCCTTGCTAGATTTGTGTAACATGTACAAACGACCCACTGTGTCCAAGATCTACGAGTTGTCCGACTGTCCGGCGGGACTGCCCAACTCTAAAGGAACGAATTAACTGCTTGGTACCTCGGGTTCCTGGAGTGTCTCGATTGTCTTGGAAATTGGCAACTTCAAGTCTCTGTACAAAGTCACCGCGGTGCACCTGTCCTTTTCGAGCTGAAAAGTCCTACTGAAAACGGCTCCGGCGATGAGGTCCTCTTTGAGGTGCATGTCCGATGTCCTGCCGGTCCATTGGAGGCGGAAACGAGTCAACGCTTCCTCCAAGCTCTTCGTGTTCTGAACGAGAAGCTTCGGGTCCGGAACGAACAATGATCGATGAGTCCGAGCGTAACAGTCCCACGTGACCACGCCGAGTGCCCACATGTCCGCCTTGGTGCTGACGTCGACCTTGCAGACTAGGAAAACTGTGACTGGGAAGCTTCTTCGAAAGGGATGCTCAAGGGAAAACAAGGAGAAGTTAACTGTAAGCTAAACGTAAACTGTTTCACTTAGGTTGTTGTCTTTGTCATTAACCACTTCAACAGACTAGTCTAGCTGTGGGTTCAATCTTCTGGTCGACAAGAGTAAAAGAAGCATGATGTATCAACCCTGTTAGTTAGTAGTTCCGTGCTGCATAGCGAGAAAGAACTATACTGCCATTGCTAAGTGGGCTGCACTGATGACTCTTCTCACACCCACTTTATGTGCTGCTAGCAGTAGTCTTTTGACTGCATCATGTGCTCAGTCTTTTCTGTCTCCCCAGATATCCCGGCCTTCTTGTCACCAGCAAAGAGGCACTCGATGGGTCTGTAGTACGCTGCATAAACCTCGTCAGCTCTTACGCGTGTTTGTCCGTCTACGGGTAGTGCACGACAATGTCCGAAGTCCGACAATGCAACACGGTGCGCGGGTAAGAATACCAGGAAATTGTTCGTCTTGACGTCCAAATGCACGATGTTCTTGCTGTGCACATAGCCCAGTCCGGCCAGTGTTTGCCGAAAATATGTGGTGACATGTGCTCGTCGTGTTGTCCATGGCACGGAGTCCTCAGTGTCCTCTGCGTGCAGCTGCCGAACAACTTTCAAAAGGTCCAATGAGGCATTCTCCATGAGAATGCCTGTGTGTCCAGTCGAGGATTGAAGCAAAGCGTAGAGCTGCACAACGTTCGGGTGTGGTCCGATCTTGCTCAGGATTGTGTACTCCCGTGTCAAGTCCCAAGACTTCTCCAGGCCATCCGTGTGTGTGTCGACCACTGCGGTGTCCTTGTCCGGCGTACGAACGGCGACCTTCAACGCCAGGCGGAGGTCCTGGAAATGGCATGCGAAGACCTCCCCGTATGTGCCTCGCCCAATGTGTCCTGCGGGTTCCAAGCATTCCTCCATTGTCCAACGGAACGTACCACGACCATCGAAGTCCTCCGGTTCACTGACCATAGGCAAGTCCATCGATTGCGAAACGGGTTTCTCTTGTCGTTTCGCACGGCGATATTCGTCTTTTGATGCCTGGTTTTTCTTGTAGCCGTCCTGAGCTCTCTGGGTGTACTCCTTGCGAAGGTCCGGCCGCTTCTTCCTGCAAGAGGACGGAAGTTGGGTGGTTTAGTCTGATGCTGTGCTGCCCGCTAGACATCATCAAGTTCAAGATCACCCATGTACAATGATGCCACTGATGTGAAACTAGATCAAAATATCACAACTTCATGTGCTTTATTTTCCTGAACTACTGCTATGCAACTACATCTTCAGAATAACTGAAGTGGACAGTCGCATCTGCTACCCAGAAAGTACTTTCAATGTCTATGTGATAACCTAGGAAGTCCTACTAGTAATAATGCTCTTGCTGTGAACAACATATGGCATCGTCGGTATATGTTGGAGGGATATCTGAAGGCATACTCGGCTACTTTTACAGGCAACAACCACACGGCATATCCAGTCTACGGCTGCGACCAAGGGACCATCTGTGCTGATAATGACATCGTCCTCGCAGGGGTGTTTTTTTGGTCAGCCGTCGGCGCCGTTTGGGGTCCACACCCTGGCTGCTCATGTCGCGCAAGAACAATGTCCATGCCGACGGCATATGCGAGAGGCCGACCTCCTTCAACTTCGGCCGTGCAACCATGGCTATCTCAAAGGGGTTCGCCGAAGGAACTGCGAGTGACTTCCGAGGAAAGAACAACGATTATCTACGTTGGTAGCACAGCCCAAGAATTAGAACAAAGGACAGGATGCGGAGTGGGTGTCGATGATTTCTCTATGGAACATAAAAGGAATTTCCGTTCTGCACGACAAGAACGAGGAATATTGGCAGGACGCGTGCATGGAAAACAGACTACTCGTTTCTCTTGTCTTACATATGGCAGGCTTCTCTACCATTGAAGGATGCATTCTGATAAACGAAAAGTAAGACCTGCAGGGTATCATGCATGTCGGACTTCTATGTTGGAGGGACACCTGCCCTTGCTTCATGTGTGGTTCATGCTTGCTTTTTTTCCTCTCTGGATGGCTCTCTACGACATCATACAATTCAGAGCCAAGACAAGAGAAAATGATGTCCAAGCATGGGGCAGGAAACTTCAAGGATTCCACTGTCTGACACAGGACAACCTCCTCTTACTGCGAAACTCGCTGGACATGGGAGTCCAAGGCTGTGTCAAACTGCTTCTTTGTCCTGCGAGATGACAAGATGTACAAGGAGTCCGCAAAAATAGAAGCAACAACCACATGTGTCATGATTCCTGTACAATGTGTCGGAGTTCCGAGTAGCCCTAACGTGCATCTCATTATGGGAAATGTTTCTTCAAACGCTCCTGCAAATTCGCAGGTGGTTCCCGGCCTTCGTGTGCCTCTACCCATGCCCAAGCCTGCTCGACACAAGCACGAGCGGCATTGCCTTGCCCGGCTTGTGTCCAGGAAATACTCCGGGTCATATTTACAGCGGGGGTTCTGTAGGAGAGCTTCCAACGACCGTTCGGCGGGTCTGTATAAATTCCAACGCTGTGTGGAAACATGCTCTTCACGCGTTCGTCCACCGTGGAGTTCAGCTTCCCGTAGACCCGGTCGTACGTCTTGTTAGCTGAAGTAGCCTTCTTCTCGTTGTCCTTCGTTTTCGTCCTGCGTGCTTCTTGTCCTCTTTTCCAGTGGTCCTTGTCGAGGTCCTGCACGGCCTTTTTGTACATCGTGATGACCTTCGGCCGTAGGACCTTAGCTGAAACTGTGGAACGCCGTCTGCTCAGTTCCTTGAGTGCCTCGTCCTGCTCGCCGATCAAAAGTGTGTCCCGAACAACAGCTTCCAAGTCCTTGTCGTCTGCCTCCGGCATCCACTTTTCTGTCTCGTGTCTGCTGAGGATTCGAAGTACGACGTCTTCTTCGACCAACGTGTTGTCTACGTTCAACATGGCTGCAATGGCCAGCTGATGTCCGGCATCTGTCCCTGGGCTTTGTGTGGCAGTCCAACCCATGTGTTTGCACAGCCTCCGTAACAGTGCTTCAGAACAATGTGCAAAACCGTGCTCAGCGTGAAATTCCAGCAAGTTGAGCTTCTTGTCCACTAGAAGAACAACGCCATTGTTCATCGAGCTGCCCTGCGTAGAACGACCTTTTGTGCGAGTATGCTTGCTTTATCTACATCTGCAGGAGTACTGGACCTAGAATCCCACTGGCCATTTCTAGTTGCTGACGAACTGCTTTGAAGTGGTACTAGTAGGAGTAACAGGAGTGGTAGTACATGCAGTACGGAGTAGCAATCGAAAGTAGTCCTTAAAGTAATAATATTAATACTCATTTTCGTCGTAGTAGTAGTAGTGGTAATAGTGTTTAATAGTACATGCACACTTGTCCTACTGTTAGTAGTGGTACCATTGGTAGTAATAGGAGTCGTAGTAGTACTACTTATACTACTACTACAAGTAGTGATACTAATGCTACTACTACTACTACGACTACTACTAGTACTACTACCACTACCACTACTAGTACTACTACTACTACTACTACTACTATTACTACTAGTACTACTACTACTACTACTACTACTACTACTACTACTACTACTACTAGTACTACTAGTGCTACTACTTGTACTAGTACAAATACTAGTAGTAGTAATAGTAGTAGTAGTAGTAGTAGTAGTAGTAGTAGTAGTACTACTACTACTACTACTACTTCTACTATTACTGGTAGTAGTAGTACTAGTACTACTACTACTGCTACAACTACTACTACTACTACTGATACTACTACTACTACTACTACTACTACTACTACTACTACTACTACTACTACTACTAGTACTACTACTACTGGAGTACCAGTAGTAGTTGTAGTACTGGTACTAATACCAGTCCTACTACTCCTACTATTACTAGAACTACTAGTACAAGGCTATTGCTAGTGGTAGGCTACTACTAGTACTAGTAGGAGTACTACTAGTAGCAGTGCTATTGCATAGGCTAAGCTAGGCCAGTGCTAGTACTACGAGCAGTGGTATTACTAGTACTACTGCGACTACTACCAGTGCTAGTGCGGCTAGTGGTAGTGTTAGGCTAGTGCTACTAGTGCTACTACTACTACTACTACTTCTACTACTAGTACTACTAGTACTAGTACTTCTAGTACTACTGCTGCTTACTTGACTAGTAGTAGTACTACTGGTGCTCTGCATGCTACTACAACTACTAGGAATAGACTAGTTCTCTAGTAGCTGTTACTAGTACTTGTACTATTACGAGTGCTCTTATTATTCACAGTTGCACTGGTAGCATTTCAAGGAGTAGTCGTCATTTTCGTGCTAATAGTACTTAGGTAGGATTATTATTGGTTATCCGAACACCGTGATTAATTAATATCAATCCAGGATGAAAGATTCATATGGGATCACGAAAACTAGTAAATCCCTGTGTGTTAAAGAACGGGCTTCACTAAGCTTCCTACTCTCAAACTGAAGCGGTCACTTTTCCTTGTGGGTCACTGTGTCCGCTGGTCTCGAGCCTTGCACGTCGCGTGTGCGTGACGGCTGTTCCTGTACATTAACTGCACTGCACTAACTGTGTTACTGTTCCTGGCAAGATGTTTAACACCCCGCCTTCGGAGTTAGCGAAAGTTCCTCGACTGAGGTGACTCCGACTTTTCCCGTCAACAGTAAACACACTGCAGTTCCTTTTCACTTGCAAAACAAACACTCTGCCTCATCGCAAACATATGTTCCTATGTTCACTCGCAATCCTCTCCAAGGTTGCTCGACTGTACAAAAGACTTTCCTTTACTATACTTAGATCACCACAGAAACAAAAAGGGCTGTGCCACGGTTCCTGTGTCCTGCTGCTTCTTTCCTCGGCTCTCTGGCCTCAGTACTGCTCGCTGTTCCTTTGCTTCACTGGAAGGTCACTTCACCGTCGTCGACCTTGTAGACTTTTGTTCCTTCTTCTTCGTTGCTGACTTCTTTCTGTTCCTTGAGTTCTTGCTCTAGCCACTCTGCACGCTGCCTTGCTTGTGACATGCACTTCTCTTTTCCTTGCTTGTCTCTTGATCCTGCTTTCCAACCTGTTTCCTTTGATCCGGAATACCAGTACCACTGCGTCTTGGCTTCGTTCCACTTCCACTGGTAGTTCCTGTTCTGGAAACCGTAGACTGCAAACCAGTTTCCTTCAAACTCTCCTTTTCCTTTGCCCTTCATGAACGATTCTTCGTTCACTTGTCCTTTGGCGGAAAGTTCTGGGTCGTCCTTTCCTCCTTTCCTTTGCTGCTGCTGTGTGACACTCGGTGGCTCCTTTCCTGTTCCTTTTCCTTCTGGCTTCTCTTCTTCTTTTGCTGGTGTTGCTGGTGCTGTGTCTGGTTCCGTGGGTGCCTGCGACCCGGCTGCTGATCCTCTGCTCTCAAGCTCCTGTGTAAGGCTTGCAATTCTTTCTTTATCCTCTTTGCGTTCCTTCATCATCTCCTTCATCATTTCTTCAAGCTTCTGGATCCTGTCTGCTTCTCCTGATCCTGTTGCTGTTGATGCTGCTTCCTTCTTCTCTGCTTCCTTCTTGGCAATGTACGCTGACGATGCCTTTTGATCTTCCTCTCTCTTCTTCCTGGCTTCCTTCTCCTTTCTTTTCTTCTCCTGTTCCTTTCTTTCCTTTTCCTCTTTGGCTGCTGCGGCTGCTGCTTCTGTCTCCTCCTTTTCCTTTGCCTCTCTCTCTGCTTTTGCTTTGGCTGCCGCTTCTACCTCTCGCCTTCTCTCGGCGGCTGCTGCTGCTTCTGCTTTTGCCTGCTCTCTGTCTCGCTTTTCCTGCTCTTCTGCTGCTTCTTCCAAAATCCTTCTTGCTTTGGCAATCTGCTCCTCCTTTGCCTTCTTCTCCTCTTCTGCTTTGGCTTTCGCTTCCTTCTGCTCCTTTGAGATCTTGTCCTGTTCATCCCAGTATTTGCGATCATCTTCATCTCGAGGTCGAAATCCTGTGCTTTCTGCTCTTGCCTTTGGTTTTCCTTTTCCTTCTCCTTTCTTCTTTCCTTTTGTTCCTTTCTCGTGCTTGTACGTGTAGTCCTTGTCGATGTGAATCTTTTCTCCTGTGACTCTGTGTTGCTTGTAGATCTCGCCGTTCTCGGAGTATTCCTTCCATTCGCTGCTGTAGTCGTAGGGGTACGGAAACTGCTTCTTTTCCTCTTCTTTCTCCTTTAGCCTTTGCTTGCTTTTGGCGTTGATCTCCGCGATCTTCTTCTTCCTTCTTTCTTCCTTTGCTTCCTCGCTTTCTTCTTCCTCTGCTGCTGCTGTTCCTTCTTCTGCTTTGGCTTCTTCGTGGTACTCCCCGGGATCTTCTCCTCCAACGTAGCTGTCCACGTAGGCCTCGTTCTCGTTCTCGTCGAAGTAGTCCTGGCTTTCTTCCTGTTCCTGGAGTCTGTCGAAGTAGCTCCTGTCTGACCAGTTCCTTATATCGTCTTCTCCTTTGTGTTTCTGGGAGGTAGGTGACGTAGCTCTCGAAGGTGCTGTTCCTTGTCCGTGTCCTTCACGACGTAGTTCACCTTCTAGTTCTCGGTCCTTGGCTTCTCTTTTCCTTTGTTCCTCTTCGTCTTCTTCTTCCTCTTGTTCCTCTTGCTGTTGCTCGTAGAAGTCCTGCATCATCTGGTTCAGCTGTTCCTTCACGGAATCACATGTACCTAGGACGAAGTTCATGTGTTCCTTGACCTGCTTCCGGTCTCTTTCGTTCTCTTCGGCCATTTCCTGAACCTTGTGCTTCACGCTGTAGATTTGGGATGTCAAACTTTCCACACATCCTGCAACGTGTTCCTGACTTTTGCGCAAACGCGCAGCTTCCTCTGTGTTCTTCCTGATCGACTCCGCGATCAAGTTCCTTTCTTCTGTAGCGGTCTTCAACGTGACTGCCGCTTCTTTCAAGGTCTGAAGTTCCTTGACGATCTCTTCTGAGCTTTTGCTTGAACTCGCGCTCGCTTCCATGGCTGCTGAGGTTCCTGGTAAGGTGCCTTGACCTGCTACTGGGCGTACTAGTTCCTGGATACCTGAGCGTTCTGCGAGTGTTCCGCAGAGTTCCTTTAGCTGCGAAAGCATCTCACTACATGTTGTTCCATGCGCTGTTCCTGCAAACGTTCCTAGCTCACATGCACTCGTGTCACTGCATATGCCGTCCTGCTCGCATGCACTTGCACATCAGAAAACATGTTCCTGAAAGTCTGCCTGAAACTCTTCTTCTTGAACACAACTCTCAAAACACTGTTCCTTGAAACTCTGAATCTGAAGACTGTCCGAAATACCTGAACTTCCTGCAAACAACAAAGCTGCAAAAGACAAAGTTCCTGGGCTCTTGATCATCCTTACAACTGCTTTAGCTTGTGTTTGGGCCTTGTGTTCCTTGAGCTCTTCTCTACCTACTGGTTCGTTCTCGCTGGTCTGAAAACCTAGCCAATGTAACAACAGTCTGATACGCTTCGCTGAAAGGGGCTTGGTTCCTATATCAGCTGTGTTTTCCTTGGTTCCTACTGGGTGAACACTAATTGTTCCTTCTTTGTGGAGGTCTTGAAGAAAAGGGGTCCTGATCTGCAAATGCTTGACTCTACCTACACCTTGCCTTGTAATAATTCCTCTAGCTGCAGAAGAATCCATATACAAGTGTACCTTGCATTGTTCCCTGGTCAAGAATTCCACTGCTTCCTTCAACAAGATAGAATCTGACGCTGCTGACGCTCCTGCGTAGTACTCTGCTTCACCACTGCTCAAGCTACCCGACTTCTGGTTCCTAGAAAAAGAGTAAATGCACTGACCGTCTAAGCAAACAATTCCTGAAGATGTTGAGCGCCTTGTGTCCTTCTTTCCTGCCCAATCAGAATCACTGAAGACTTCCAAAAGGTGGTGTTCCTTGGGCCTTGTTCCTGTAAAGTCGTAGTTACCATTCCTAATGGATTCATTGAGATTACTGAGTCCTCTGGGTGTCTTCCTGTACACTAGATGGTATCCTTCAGTTCTCGACATGTACTGCACTAGGTGGACTAAGTGTTTCCAAGAACCATGTGTTGGTTCCGACATCTTGGAGGCCAAACCTCTCACTGCAAACTGCACGTCAGGGCGGTCCTGACTGACATACAAGAGTATGCCAAC